TTTGATGAAAAGGTTCTTTAGATAGAATTTAATAAAATTGGGTTTTAAGAATGTCAAATATTTTTAATATTAAAAAATTACTTAAAAATTTTTAGTAGTGTTAAAGTTAATGATGCTCGAAAGGAACTTAATGGGCTGAAAGATTTAAAATTTCTTTATATAGTATATTTAAATTTGCCGACTATATAATGTGAAGCCGTATAGTTATGGGTTATATATGCCTTATTTATTTATTTTCGCACCCAAAAAAATTCTTCAGAAATTTGCTGTCGAGATGATGGAAGACGAATTGGTGATGAATTTTTTACTTTCTAGAGTTTTAATTTCCTATTGATTCTGGTTCGGATATAATCTAAAGTCAATAGATTTAGATTATATCAGCATTCCAAAATCTCACTAGATCTATTTTGCTTTTTTAGATTTAGGGTTGCTTCTTCCGACCTAATTGGTAGAATCTAGTTCGATTTTATGATTCCGACGAGTATTTTCTGTTTCGAAATTCTGAGTTTTTTTTTTTATATATACTGAATTGTTATGGTTATGTTTTGATTAGATGGAAACAAGATCTACCTCTGCTGTTCTGCGTCGAATCCGTCCATTGGCGGGATCTTACAGATATTATCCATACCAAGCGTCAGTGAATGTTACCTTGTCCCTTGGCTTTTTTGTAGGACGGTCTCTGGGAATATTGACTTTTTATTTGTTTTGTAGGACGGTCTCTGGGAAGGAGGACATTAAAAAAGAGGTTGTACAACTCGGAGTTGAGCTCTCACTCTCTGTAGCTGAATCCATGTTCTTGTTGTGTGATGATATTCATACTATGTTAGGATTCTGCTTTAAGTTATGGAAACGTGTATTTTCCCACCGTAATCATGTGATAGAAAGGCTGCTTCTTGTTATTCAATGGAGTGTATCATGATGGTGGAAAGTCGGTCCAATGGGAGCTGATTAGAACCACTTGGACGGATTTTGCTGACGGAATCATAGTTTTGCATCGTCTCCATATGCTTCTCAGAAGAAAAGTTTGCTCTTTTGAAGATCGCCTGTTATCCTCGGCTATTCAAAAATGTAAGCAACAAGTGCTGAAGAAGCTAGAGGATAAATTGAGTCCCGCAAACCATGTTTCAAAGGCTAATGGGTTTGCAAGAGAGACGATAAAGTCTGTCATTTTTGACTTGTGGAGATCTCTGTTTGATGAAGAACTAATATCCAACGAGAGAAGGATTGGGATTGTTGCTGACCTGTTTACGCCTCTTTTGGGTAAACCAGAGCGTAGGGAGATACGGGCACTGCCCGTATGTTCTCCTTACATTCTAGGGTCAGTAATATTACTTAGCTCATTTGAGAGTTGTGCTTACTCACTCAGCCAGGTTACAAAGTCTTAATTTTGTCTCTTTTTTTTTATTTTTGGGTTTGCAGGAAGGATTTTGCAATGCAGGAATTGAAACAGGAGGTTGTGCAACTAGGAGTTGAGCTCTCCCTATATGTGGCTCAATCGATGTTCTTGCTGTGTGATGATACTCGTACTATGTTAGAATTCTGCTTTATGTTCTGTAAAGGTGTATTGCGGTACCGTAATCCCGTGTTAGAAAGGCTGCTTCTTGTTATTCATTATGTTTACTCAAACGAGATCAAACCGAAGAATGGAGTGTATCAGGATGGTGGAGACTCGGTCCAATGGGAATTGATTAGAACAACTTGGAAGGATTTTGCTGACGGAATCATAGTTTTGGATCGCCTTGATAAGGAATTCAGACGAAAAGTTAGCTCTTTTGATGACCGACAACTATTGTCGGCTATTCAAAAGTATAAGCTAGAAGTGCTGAAGAAGCTAGATGATAAATTAAGTTCCGTAAAAGAAGTTTTAGAGGCAAATGGGTTTGCAAGGGAGACTATAGAGTCTATCATTTTTGACTTGTGGAAGTCTCTGTTTGATGAAGATGCAACATCCCAAGAGATAAGGAGTAGGATTCTTGTTGACATGTTTATGCCTCTTAAGGGTAAACGAGTGCAGGCACTGCCCGTATGTTCTCCTTACATTCTAGGGTCAGTAATATTACAAAAGCCCCTTTAAGAGTTTTGCTTACAAAGTCTACATATTGACCTTGTTTTTTCTTTTGCAGGAAGGATTTTAAAATGCAGGAAGTAAAAGTGGAGGTTGTGCGACTAGGAGTCGAGCTCTCCCTATATGTGGCTGAATCGATGTTCTTGCTGTGTGATGACATTCGTACTGTGTTATGGTTTTGCCATAATTTATGGGGAGAAACAATAAGGGATGTGATTAATGAAAATCATGTGACGGATAGGCTGCTTCGTGTTATGCATCATGTCTACACAAAATATATCAAACGGAAGAATGGAGTATATAATAATGATGGCAAAAATTCGGTCCAGTGGAAATTGATCAGGACGACAGTGGATCATTTAGCTTTTGGATTTAGAGAGCTGGATCGCGTTGTCTTGTTGCTTAGAGGAGGAGGAACATGTGGCCGAGAGTCGACGTCTATTATTGAAGAAGCGGTGAAGAAGATAGAGGAGAAGTTGTGGCGTGTGAAGGTTGTTTCAGAGGTGAATGGGTTTGCGAGGGCTGTGATGGTGTCTAATATTTTGGACTTGTGGAAATCTTTGTTTGACGAAGAAGCTAAGGAAGCAACATTGACTCTGAAAGCGATTAAAAGTAGGATTATTCGTCAATTGTTTGTTCATCTATTTAACGAAGTAGCAGCACTTTAGTGGATTATTTAAGCG